GGTCCGGGGGTCTCTCTCCCTCTCTCGGATCCGGACTGGGTCCGGGGTCTCTCTCTTGGATCCGGATTGGGTCCGGGGGTCTCTCTCTCCCTCTCGGATCCGGATTGGGTCCGGGGGTCTGTCTCTCTCTCTCTCTCTCGGATCCGGATTGGATCCGGGGGTCTCTCTCTCTCTCTCGGATCCGGATTGGGTCCGGGGGTCTGTCTGTCTCTCTCTCTCTCTCGGATCCGGATTGGGTCCGGGGGTGTCTCTCTCTCTCTCTCTCTCGGATCCGGATTGGGTCCCGGTTGCGGCTCCGCGGCTTTAATCCCGGAGCCTGCGCGGCGGCTCATTCATAGACTCCGGGAACCAATCACAGCAGTGATCTGAGACATCGGCCAATCACGGGGCTCTGTATTTGTAGCTGTTCCTTATTTTTACAAGCAGCAGCCAATCACAGCTCGCTCCGTTATACCACCCACTTCACACATTTCTAACGGGTCCGAAGCCTCTCAGGATCGGGGAGAAACACCTTCTCTGTCCTGGGAGAGACCCTCTGTCCTGGGAGACCCACTGTCCTGGGAGTAGGAGACCCTCTGTACTGGGAGAGACCCTCTGTCCTGGGAGAGACCCTCTGTCCTGGGAGACCCACTGTCCTGGGAGTAGGAGACCCTCTGTCCTGGGAGACACCCTCTGTCCTGGGAGTAGGAGACCCTCTGTCCTGGGAGAGACCCTCTGTCCTGGGAGAGACCCTCTGTCCTGGGAGACACCCTCTGTCCTGGGAGTAGGAGACCCTCTGTCCTGGGAGACACCCTCTGTCCTGGAGTAGGAGACCCTCTGTCCTGGAAGAGACCCTCTGTCCTGGGAGAGACCCACTGTCCTGGGAGACACCTTCTGTCCTGGGAGACACCCTCTGTCCTGGGAGTAGGAGACCCTCTGTCCTGGGAGAGACCCACTGTCCTGGAAGTAGGAGACCCTCTGTCCTGAAGGATATCCCATGTCTCAGAATTATACAGTACAGATGAGGCCGTTCGACCATCGAGTCAGTACCGACAACAAATGTCTCTAAATCTACGCTGGACCCCCTTTCCTGCACTAGGCCAATAGCCTTCAATGTTGTGACATAAGAAAACCTCAGCCAAGCAAATTCTAAAGGTTGTGAGGTTTCCCACCTCAACTCCTCTCCCAGGCAGTGCATTCCAGACCCGCCCCCCTCAACTCTCTGGGTGAAAAAGGTTTTCCTTAAATCCCCTCTAAACCTCCTGCTTTTCACTTTAAAATTATGCCCCCTTGTTATTGACCCTTGAACCAACGGGATCAGTTGCTTTCTATCAACCTTGTCCATGCCCCTCATAATCTTATACACCTCTATCAGGTCCCCCTCAGCCTTCCCTGCAACAAAGATAACAACCCGAGTGTATCCAGCCTCTCTTTATTGTTAAACTGCTCCATCCCAGGCAGCATCCTGGTGAATCTCCTCTGCACCCCGTCCATTGCAATCACATCCTTCCTATAGTGCACTGACCAGAACTGCACACAGTGCTCCAGCTGTGACCACACCAAAGTCCTGTACAGCTCCAACATAACCTCCCTGCTCTTATAATCTATGCAATGATTGATAAAGGTGTGTCCAGTAGACTTCTTAACTGCACCATTAACCTGTCCTGCCATTTTCAGAGATCTGCGGACAAGCATCCCAAGATCCTTCTGTTCCTTTGCGCTTCCTAGTGCCCTGCCATTCATTGATTACTCCCAAGTCTTGTTCCTTCTTCCAAAGTGCATCACCTCACATTTATCAGGATTAAATTCCATCTGCCACTGAACATCCCACCTGACCAATCCGTTTACATCTTCCAGTAACTTAACGTCTTCTCCCTCACTGTCATCTGCACAGCCAATCTTTGTGTCAACTTCACACCATGGAGAAAGACCCACTTTCCTGGAAGGAGGAGATCCTCTGTCCTGGGGAACTCACTGTATAGGAAGGGGAGACCCCTGTATGGAGCAGACATTCAGTCCTAGGGAGACTCCCTGTCCAGGGAATAGATGATCCCTTGTTTGGGAATCAGGCAATCCCTTGCCTGTCAGGATGGGGCAGAGACTTTCTCTGGGTGTGTGGGAGACCCCTTGACCAAGGAAAGGTCAGATCCTGACTACAGACCCTCACAGCTTCACCCATCTGGATGGACTAAGGTGAGGAACAGGAGCAGGAGTTGACCATTCGGCCCACCCTGTCTGTTCTATTCACAATGACCCTGGCTGATCTTGGGTTTCACCTCCACCTTCCCTCAAGCTCGTCGGATCCCTTGATCTCTCCATAAAGTTAGCTTGGAATGCACTTCCTTGTGAAAGTCACAGAACCAGATCCCAGTCGATTACAAGCGCATAGAAATCCTCATTATGAAAACCAGCTGGAATACACTGGCTGTGACGGACAGTGATGACCCATTGACGGGATGAAAGAATCAGACAAGGGGTTAATGCAGTCTGTACCATTCTAATAAGGGTTGTCTGCACACAGTACGTATATAACGCAGTTTGTCCTGCATGTCTGACAATAATAACAACTGCAATATGCATTTATATGACACCTTTATTGCAGCAAAATGTCTGACGGCACTTCACAGGACATTATGAAGTAACATTTGACCCCCAGTTACTGAAGGAGATACATTGGGACAGGTGGCCAAAAGTTGAGTCAAAGAGGAAGGTTATAAATTGTATCTTAAAGGAGAGAGACAGAGACAGAAAAGGAGAGGAATTTCAGAATTTAAATGAGTTAACGTTAACCACAATCACTAAAAGAGATTTTCCGATCACTTATACCAACAATGCCTTTGGCAATTTGCTGTACACACATTTCCTGCTGTGTTTCCTGCATTACAATAGTGACTGTACTCCAATAGTCCGTAGGGCGCGATAAAATCCTAAATTCTTCCTCTGCAGCTGACTCTTAGGCATTCCAATTCTATCCACGTGACAGCAATATCAGCAGACTTTTGAAATGAAACCTCTCTGGTTTGTTTATAGTGTCGAGTTAAGACAAGTCGTGAAATAAAACACAATTCATTGAAACAAGTGTTTGAACAATGTCATAGAGAAAACGAAGATATAAATAAACAAAGGTTCACGAAAGCGGCCAGCTATTATATCAGGAAGTCGTTGCCAGCTTGCAGGGGATCGTACATTCCTGGAAGTGACCTTATACCCTGGGCTGAGACAGACCTGGGGGGAGGCGTGGGGGTGGGGGGAGGTGTGGTGACTGGACTGAGCTATCGTCCGTTGGCTCACCCCTCCTGAACCTGTCAAATTTGATCGTTTCTAGCAACAGCCTCAGAAACGGGATAGGAAATAAGGAGTGGCTGTTGACCTTTCAGCCCCTTGAGCTGCTCTGCTCTTCTGTCAACTATTGGCAGATCCTCAGCATGGACCATACTTTCCTGCCCACTCACTATCTGCTGGATTCCCTGAGAAATCAAAAACCTATTGATCCATCTGGAATGTTCACAGTTCTGGAGGATGGACAACTCTGGGTGAAATCCAAAGATTCCCAATCCTCTGAATGAAGACATTTCTCTTTATCTCAGTTCCAGACGTTTGGCTGCTTATCTTGACACTGTGTCATTGAGTGGTTTTTCCAACCAGGGAATTAACCTTGCAGTATCAATACTGTCAAGCTTCTTCAAAATTTTGTATGTGCAGTGAGATCTTCTCTCATTCTTCTAGAATAGAGTCATAGAATCCCTACACTGTGGAGGCAGGCCATTCGGCCCATACCAATCCTCCAAAGACCATCCCACTCAGACTCACCCCCTACTCTATAACCTTACATTTCCCATGGCCAATCCATCTTTGGACTGTGGGTGGAAACCAGAGCACCCAGAGGAAACCCATGCAGACACGGGGAAAATGTGCAAACTCCACACAGTCACCCAATGATGGAATTGAACCTGGGTCCCTAGCGCTGTGAGGCAGTGGTGCTAACCACTGAGCCACTGCACTGCCTTCTGGAATGGTGGTACAGGCTCAAAGGGCCAAGTGGCCTACTCTTGTTCTTGTTGGATGTAAGCTCCAGAGAATTTTGGCCCAATATCATTATTGTTGCTTTTCTTGCTTTCAGCTCAAACTTGTGGCAATTCCAGTTTACTCTGACTCTTCTCAGCCAAATGGGACATGTCCCTCAGCCACTACCTCAACCTGTATATTTGGGAAATGTTGCATTGCCTGTCTCCCTCTTTGATTATTATTCACTCCCATTTATCCAGTTAGACCATTGGCAAATTTCTCACAGTTACCAGGTACCATCCAAGGGATAATTCTCAACAAGTAACAGAAATATGCCCAGGCGTAGAGTTAAAGCGAATCAAAGTATTATTTTGAAATAATTTAATTCAGTGAGTGAAAACTGAGATGAAAAAAAATTAATAATGCTATTGGTGTGACGGTACTTTTTAATTTCCCTCCTCTTCCTCAGTTTCTGTGCTGCTCTCTTACAGAAATAGTATTCTGTCTACAGACTGTTCTTCAGTGAGGGGCCCCACATACACAGGAAGCCTGGCTGATTCTCTTTCTCTAACCCAGGGATCACTGGGCAGTGATCAGGAGCAGGAACTCTGGCTGATTCTCTCTATCTAACTCAGGTACCACCCAGCCTCTTGTAGCTGCCCTGCACTCTCTGCTTGAGCTGAACATTTGGTCAAGTCACAGGCTCTCTCTGCTTAGGATGGTTGGTGTTAGGACAGGACAAGGAACCTCATTCACTGTTGGAGATTTGTTGGGTTGTCTCAGCTGTTGACATTGCCAAAACTCCCCATGTTTAAATCAGCACAGCATCTGCACTGGCTTTACAGCCAGTCTGTCACTCCTGGATATTTCCGACATGATTCTGAATGTTAATTTATTCAGATCAAAGCTGTTGTGAGAAATCTGGATTGGTACAATAGTGCAAGCAACCTCTCTCTCCCTGTCACAATAAACAGTGTGAGACCCTTGTATATTTCCCTAGCTCCTACCCAGTCTAACAGATGTGAGTGTGTGCCCACCAGCCTGCTTTAGTGGGTGT